CCCAAGATAACAATATGGTCATTTTCTGTGTCTGCTTTTTGTTCATGGTTGTTGCCTATTTTCTGACTTAAAAAAAAAATGTTGAGTTCTACTGCTGGAGCAAAGGGGGCACTTGCCCAAGCTTCTTTTCCTGCTCACAGGGGCCCTGCACTTGAATGTTTGGCTCCTGGTGGCTCAGGCCTTGCACAGGGATATTTTGCTGCTGGTGGGTTTCTGTCAGCCTGGAGCTTTGCTTCTGGAGTTGTGCTTCCCAGTTGTGTTGAGGCACTGGGTTGATTTCACTGCTGGAGAACACTGTTACCCGTGGTCATTTTCCCAGCTGGTGTCTACCAGTTCCCTTTGGCTCCTGGTGGCTCAGGCCTTGCACAGGGATATTTTGCTGCTGGTGGGTTTCTGTCAGCCTGGAGCTTTGCTTCTGGAGTTGTGCTTCCCAGTTGTGTTGAGGCACTGGGTTGATTTCACTGCTGGAGAACACTGTTACCCGTGGTCATTTTCCCAGCTGGTGTCTACCAGTTCCCCTTCTTGTATTGAGGCTTGCGGGGGTCCTGGAATTGGCATTTGCCTGTTCCACCAACCAGCGTCTCAGGATCTCCCCCTGGTACGATGAGGTGGGGTTTTCTGCTGGCCTGCTAGGACATCTCCAATCCTGTACTGCTCCCCCTCCCCCAGAGAGAAAAAGGCCTTTCCAGGTACTCTCCCAAGCTTCCTGGGGTACAAGACTGCTGTGCCCTGTCTTTTTCCTGGGTTGATATTTTCTGGGCTTTCAGAAGTCTTACTCTGCCATCTTGGCTCCTGGAAGGTGAATTCCCCATGCATCTTTCCATTGCCTTTTATTTCACCTACAATTTAGAATTTTCTGGAAGGCTAATATTCCAGTTCTACAACTGTCCCTGGGAGAAAAATGAGGTTAAGAAAATGTGTTTTCCCACTAAGGGAGTAGCTCCCAACAGGAGCCACATGTGATGCTTTTTCCCATTCCCTTGGTCCTGTGTGTGTGTGTGTGTGTGTGTGTGTGTGTGTGTGTATGTGCCTGTTTGAAAATCTAGGTAATAGACATTCTTCAACCACTTTGTTTTTCCAACGTGAATGGATAGGCCAATTTGTTCTGAGTGACTGGAGTGATTGAGAAGGCCTTGTCCTGTTTTGGGGCATGGTGAATGAATGCAATGCTATCTGTAAGTAGGATTATTTGGAAATGTATTCACGGCTAAATCTAATGGCTTTTTCTCAGTTCTCATATTTCTTGATTGTCTCAGCTGTATTTCACACTGTTAACTTTTCCACTTTTTAGCTTATATGATGTTGGTCTTCTTAGTTCTTTTTTTTTTTTTGGTCTCCTTTCTAGCTTCTTTTATCTTCTCTGTCATTAGCTATGGAAAATTCATGAGATTTAGTACTAAATCCTCAGCTTTCTCTAATTTCATTTCCTCTTAAAACTCATCTATTTCTATTAATGAAGATTCATTCCATCGACACACTTTGTTGTTAGAAAAAAAATTTTTAATCAGAAGTTAGAGATATATAGGAGGCAGTAAGATGCCTTCCAAGATTACAGTATTGTAGCTTTAAAGCTGGAAGGGACCTTAGAGGCTATAATTTTAAACATGAAGAAACTGATGCCCAGAGTGAGTTCTACTCCTAGATTATTGCAACAGTCTTCTAATTGGTTTTTCTGGTTCAGGTATCCAACCCATTCTCATAAAAAAAGACAGCAAAATAATCTTCCTAAAGCAGAGCTGTCCATATTACCTCCTGGGTTCAAGAAGCTTCAGTAGCTCCTGCTTGTCTATGACATTAAATGAAAATTCCTCAGCCTGGCATTTAACACCCTCCAGTGTCTGGCTTGAGTCTACCTTTCCATACTCATTTTATTTGACTTCCAATGACCCACTCTCTTCCAGTTAAGCTGGCCAGCTTGCTCTTCTCTGATGCCATCTTTCCACTCCAGCCTCCATGTCTTCAAACAGGTGACATGTCCTGCATGGAATGCACATCTGGCTTCCTTCAATTCTCAACTCATGCGCTATCTTCTTGTTAGTACTCCGTTCCTCCTTAAACCTTACCTATTGTATCCTTTTAGTCAAATGCAAACTCCTTGAAGGTAGGAACTGTTCTTTGTTTTGTCTACATATACGTGGCAATAAGTCAGTTAATAAACATTAAGCTCCTACTAAGTGCCAAGCACTGGGCTAAGCACTGGGGAGGCAAAAGAGTGTGAGTCCCTACTCTTGAGAAGCTCCAGCTGTAATGGGGGAAATAACAAGCAAGCAAATATGTACAGACAGATATGTATACAGGATAAGTAGGAAATAATTAATGGAGGGAAGGCACTAGAGTTAAAAAGGGTTAGTGATTTAAAAAGGTGTGATTTTAATTGGGACTTGAAGCCAGGGAGGTCAGCAGTTGGAGCAGAGAAGGGAGAGCATTCCAACCATGGGAGACAGCCAGAGAAAATGACCAGAGGTGACGGATAGTGTTCGTGGAAAAGCCAAGAGGCCAGGGTCACTGTATTGAGGGCTGGGGACTAAGGTGTAAAAAGACTGGAAAGGCAGGAAGGGCCAACTTTTGAAGGGTTCTGAACCTCGAGGATTTTGTATTTGATCCTGAAGGCAAAAAGGAGCAAGTGGAGTTTGAGAAGGGGGGGGTGACTCGATCAGACCCGCATTTTAGGAAGATCATTTTGGTGGCTGAACGGAGGATGGATTGGATTGGGAAGAGACTTGAGGGAAGCAGACTATTGGGAAAATCTAGGCACCACGGTAGTGACAGTATCAGAGGAAAGAAGAGGCATACTGAAGAGATTTAAAAGGTGAAATCAAAAGGCCAGCACCTTGCACGATGTCGAGTCTAATAAGCACTGATTAACCAATCAACCTTAACTATCATTTATGAAATGCCAAGATATCATTTATCATTAGTGAATGAGTGGTCTTGGTACTGGAGATACAAAGACAAAAATAAAACTGTTCCTGCCCTCAAGAAGCTTATATTCTACAGGGGAAATCAATATGTACTTAAATAAATATAAAGGCTGTTACAAAAGTCTTAGTGTAGCCCAAAGCTTTAAGCTTCAACAAGCTGTGAATAGCGCTAAGGCTTTCTGTATCAAATGCCCGCCTCTCCCAAAGAGTCTACAGTTTTGAAACTGTTCCTGTATCTTTCGGAAGTCATAAGACATTAAAAGAGTAGCAGTTTACATATCATCAACAGTAACGGTTTGAGAGAATGAATGAGAAGACAGAGAGAATGAGATAACAAAGGCTTCTTTCCTGATGCAGTCAAGGAGTGGCCCGGACCCACGCTCTCGGGGGTTAGCCTGCTTATCCAACCTGTACCCTGTACGTGTGAGTGGGGCTCCCAGAGAGAGATGCCACAGGCTGGTACCAAAACTCTCTCTCCTAGGGAAACCCTGGTATGTATCACTGGCTCCAAACTTTGTACATCTGATCAGCTTTAGCTCTGCTACAGCTCACAGCTGTAGTCCATCTGCCTCAGCCTTCCAAGCAACAGGGAGAACAGCCAGCCTGGGTCAACAGACTCCTATAACTCACTGATATCTCTGATTTGAAGGGGGAAAAACACCATTTCGGAAGCATTTTTTCAAAAAATTACAAGCATCGGAAGGTGCGATGGGAAGTCTGTAGGTCCCAGGGCATGCAAGCGCAGCCCTCACACTGGGGGGCTCTTAACCCGGGGTTTCTTTATCCAGAAGCCAGGAAAGGCCCTTGTCCGTGCGGGCACTGACCCTGCGGGTCCGTGCGCGGCCTTTCACCGGTCAAGTGTCTAGGGCACAACTGTGGCCAGGATGAAGAGGACCACGTGCCGCGGACGGCTCTGGGGGCGCTCACGGAGGAAGCCGCTCACGGTCCCGGAGGCCCGCTCCGCGTTGGGGGGCAGGGCCCGCCCAGCAGCCTGGTCCGCGGCACTGCTCACGCTAACTTCTCCGGAGAAGAGCTCGTCTCGGCCGGGGAAGAACGCGAGTCCCGGGCTGCTCCAAGCGTCAATATTTGCTCGGCCTCGCGCAGGGGCGGAGGCTGGGGCGGGCAAAGGGCGGCCGGGTTGCCGGAGGGCGGAGAGCGTGTCACCTGGGGCCTGCCCCGCGCTGCACCCAGGCCGGGGGGGGGGGGGGGGGCCGGCCGCCGACCGCGCGTGCGCGCCGGGCATGGGAGGCGGGGCTTGGCCCGCCTTGGCGGCCCCGGGGGAGGAGCTAACGTGCGCGGCACCGCCCCGAGCCGCGCCGCTCCCCCCTTCCGGGCGGGGGGGGCGTTCCAGTGGCAGGAGCCTGTATGGTCACAGTGGTCTGTTTCTAAGCGGGCGCGGGGCGGGCGCCGTAGCCGGAGTTCCCTCCCTCTCCCTCCAACCCGCGCAGGGCCGGGGACAGGCGGGTGCTCGCGGCGTTCGTTCCCTTCTCCCCGCTCCGGGGCGCGTGGGGGGCCGGCGGGGGTGGGCGTTTGTAAGTAAATAGGCACGGGCGGTGGCTGCGGGTCGGGGGACCGGAAGGAGCGGGCCGCCGGCCACGTCATTCCCCCCTCCCCGGGGGGGAGGACCCTCCCGGCCCTCGGACACCGCCCCTCGCGCTTACCGGCTCCCTGCCGTGCGCGTGCGCGGCTCCGCCCCGTTCCGCCAGGCTCTACTCTAGCGGCCTCCGTCCTGGGCGCCGCACGCTTGGCGTGAGGTGGGCTCGCGCTGCTCGCAGTGCGTGGGCGCGGAGAGGAAGGCGTGAGGGAGATCGAGGAGGACGGAGGGCGAGAGACCGAGAGGAAGAAAGCGAGAGGGGCCGGGCGCGTGAGGGTGCGAGTGTGCGCGGTGGGTGCGCGTGTGCGCGCGGCCAGGAGGGGCGGGGCCGCGGCCGTGGGCGGTTAGCGCTCGGCCCGGCGCGTGGGCCAGGGGGCGCTCTCCCACCGCCGGCGCCGGCGCACGCGCACACTCGCGCAGAGCGCTCCGCGGGAGAGAGGCTGAGTGGGCGGCGGCGGGCCGCGCCGGGCTGTATCCGGTTCTCTGGCCCAGGCCGGGGCCGTTTGTGACCCAGGCGGGGCGAGGAAGCCGGGCGCGGGCGGGCGGGCCTGGGCCTGGGCCCCGGCGGGGCGGGGCGGGACCATGTCTGCTGAGGGCTCCGTCCCCCCGCCCGACGAGCCGGCCTCAGTGGCCGAGCTGGGCCTGCCCCCGCTGCGGGAGCGGGAGCCCGAGCGAGCCGGCGCCCGAGGGGAGCCGCCGCAGCCGCCGCCGCCCGCGCCCCTGGGCCACAGCGTGCCCCAGGCGGCCGTGGCCGTGAAGCCCCTCGGACTGCCCCTGGCCCACAAGCCTCCGGAGCCGGGGAGCCCCCCGGGGCCCGGCGACGACGAAGACGACGCCGACGGCGAGGGCGACGAGGACGACGGCGACGGGCCGGCCGCGCGGGAGCGGCCCCGGGCCCCGCCGCCCAAGGAGAACCCCTGGACCAAGAAGCCGCCGCCGCCTCCGTCCGCGCTGCTGCTGCCAGCCGTGGTGGCCGCCGCGCCGGGCCCGGCCCCGGGCCAGCCCCCGGCCGCCGCCGCGCCTCCGCCGCCGCCGCCGCTGCTGCTGCTGGCCGAGCCCGCCGAGGCAGGTGCGTGTGTGTGCAGGGCTGTGCGGGAAGGGGGTGGGGAGGAGACGAGGCTGACCCGTGGCCGGCCGTGCCGCCTCTCTCTTCCGCGGCGGCGAGTGGGATTTTAGCAGTGAAGGGACTGCAGCAGGGCAGAGATCAACGGATTCGGATTCGAACCTTTTCTTTTCCTAATTGAAGGCAGGCTCACCTAGACGTCGTCTTTAATGGTTGAGCAGAAGAGTGGAATTTTGCAAAGATAGTGTGAACTGAAGCTATTTTCCGCGGTTAAAAATTCAGGGTCAAATAAGGCAAGTTCACTTTTTTCATACGAGCCCAGAAATGCGCTCTGCCTGTCCTGCCACATACCTGCGGAAAGCTTCCAGGTGTCCAGACACGAGCATCTTCACAGCTGTCATAGTTAACTCGTGCCTTCGAAGAGAACAGGAGGTTGCACTTACGTCTAAACGAAGAAATCTAGAGTACCGTAAAAGCTGAACTGGAAAATTATATAAGTACATCTTATCAAATTGATTGGCCTTTGGCCTTGTGGGTTCTTTAGGTTTAATCTGTATTGCATATTTGTAATTGCAGTAGCAAGAAGCCAGTGAATATAATACCCTTCGTCATCAGTCATTAAGATATTTTAAAAGCTTCAGATACGACCAGGTTTTTTTTGGAAATTTCCTTTAAGAATTCAGAATTTGTATCAAATTAGGTAGAGGTGAGTTGATCTCTCTTCTAGGGAAGTGTTTGTTAACAAGTATTTAAAATCCCAAGTTTTAATAGTAGATGTTTTAAACCTTTCGGGGAAGAGTTACGACAGGATGGTTCATGAGCATTCTTCAAGGGTCCTACGGCCCTATGAAAACCTTTTTTTCTATCCTTCATCTTGGCTTTCTGTACTCTTTGGTTGACTTGGATTAATGTGGTATAGTTGAAATAACACTTGGCAGAGATTTCGGTTCTGGTCTTAATAACTAGTGTGAGCTTAGGCAACCCAGTCTTGCTAGGTCTTTAGTTTTCTCATTTGTCAAATAAAGAGATTGGTGGTATGTTGTTACATTTAGTTTTTCTCTCCCCCCCCCCCAGCAATCAAGGCATCGTCTATATATAACTCAGCCTTAGTTGGCTTTCTCTTTTGCTTGATCAATCTGTTCAGTATAGAGAAATAAAAGGGAGCAGGGTTGGTATCTAGATACTGACTGGAAATTTCTTTGAAGCTCCAGAAATAGCATAAGTGAGCTGAGGGGCTACAAGTACAGGGTGGAATCTGCTGCAAATGAAGTCGTTAGGTTGAAAAGGAACATGATAATTTTGTTAATGAAGGGATCTCTACCCACAACCTACCTTGTGGGAGACTAGGAATTGTTTCTTTGTATTTGTGTACCCAGCCACTACCACAGTGCCTGTTTACAGTGTATGTGTAAGCATATAGTGCTTATGCCTATTGATTGACTTCAGGGATGAGTTCTAGGAGGTATGTCTTTCTCCTGCTGTGCCTTGGTAGCTTTTGCTCCTCTCCCATCTAGGCCAGTCTGCTTTTAAAAAGTCCTTAGTTGTGCTCTTTGGGAGGTTGCGAATACACCTGTGGGATGGCATGTCCCCTTGTTAGGTGATTTAGAGACTGAGCGCAGCCATCACCTAGGCAATCTCATTCAAACTTCTACCTAGAAAGAGGCCTGCGAAGTTGGCGCTTTGCTTTAGCCAAGCCCAAGCTGTCCCTGTTCCTGGCCTACCTTGCAGAGAGGCCTCTGCCTGAAATGGGACTACTTGGCTGCTGCTGATAGATTGAAGAGTCCAGAACTTTGTCTAATTCTCTGGGTCACTGGGGAGTGTTAAAGAGGGATCTTTGGTAGGGTTTTAGTTGAAGGACCATTGTACATGGAGTCTGTTGGTTGTGTTATCCTGCCTGGGACAGAAATATGCCATCTTGTTTGGTTGCAAAGTCCATGCTTGTTTAAAGTCAAACATAGTGGTTCTATGTATGTAGAGATTAATGGATGGGTTGGAAAAAATGTCCACAGGATTTGATGAACCCTGAAGATAGACCTTGCCTGCCATAAAATATATAGAATTTAGCTCCCTCACAAAAGAAACACTCACCAAAGAACTGTTTGGTGCGACTGAGGAATGCTACTATAGAGAGCTTTCTTCATTTGTTAAAAGATACTGATTTATTTATCTGCTTTATACAGAATAGGAAAGTCTTGTAATTAGCATGGGCACCAGATGCGTTTTGGTGCTTTTTCTTCCTTAGAATCCCCATCCTCCTCATCAGTGCAACCCCTTTCCCTTCCCCCAAAGTTTAACAAGCCTACCACTATGCTCAGTGGTTGGGCCTCTAGCTTCTCTCCTCTCCATGTTCATCAGCTCCTGTGGGATCACCCTGCATTTCTGTGAGGCTGAGTTCCATTTCTATATATACAACCCCTCTCTACTGAACTCCATCACATCAACCACTGGACAGCCCCCACCCTGCTCTCTCAGGTATCTCATACAACATGTCCAAATCTGACCTTGTCTTTGCCCTCCAAACCTTCCCCTCTTTCTAATGTTTGTGTTCCTGAAATTTCCTGTTTCACCACCATCTTTGTAGTAACCTAGCTTTGCAGCTGGGGAGCCACACCTCAGTTCTTTCTCTCCCTCACCTCTCATCCAACCAGTTGCCAAATCTTGTCGGTGATTCCTCTGCAAGGTCTCATGTGTCCCTTTCTATCTGCATGACTACCATTCTGATCACCCCTGCTGGAACCATTGCTTTCGCTTTCTAATTGGTCTGAAGCCTCCTCTCTCCAGTTCTTCCTCCATGGCTGACAAACTGATCTTTCTAAAGCACAGGTTTGACCCCTCTTCTGTTCAAGAGGTTCCAGTGGTTCCCTGTTTTCCTCTAACGTAAGGTAAACACTCCTTTTTGTCTTTTAAAGCCAGCTGTTTTGTGGCCTACCTTTCTAGGCTGTTTGCTTGTTATTCTTCTTTAAACCCTTCTTTATTCCAGCCCAGCTGGCTCACTTACTCTTCTCCTTAGACACATTCCATCAGTCAGGCCCTGTAGCTTTCTTGAAAACTCAGCTGTAATGCTACCTTCTGTTATTCAGTTGTGTCCAACTCTTCATGTCCCCGTTTGGATTTTCTTGACAGAGATACTGGAGTGGGTTGCCATTTCCTTCTCCAGGTCATTGACAGATGAAGAAACTGAGGCAGAGTTGAGTGACTTGCCCAGGGTCATGCAACTAGTAAATGTCTGAGGCTGGATTTGAATTCAGGAAGATGAGTCATCCTGACTCCAGGCTTGGCCCTCTATCCACTGAGCCATCTGGCTACCCCTAGTGCTGCCTCCTACAGGAAGTTTATAGTCCCATTTGGCTAGCATCTTCTTCACCCAAAGTACTTTGTAATCAATCATCAGGTGGTTCTCCAACCTTTATTATCACTGGCATTCTGCTGAGCCCTGGAGAGAAAGAAAAATGGAATGCCTGCTCTCAAGGAGTTTACAATCTAAATGGGGAGACTGCTGATGCAGAAATAGCTAGAAGGTGGGTATGAGGTCACCTTCAAGTCGAGGGGTGAGGCCGAGCAGTTGGAGGGGGGTGGGAAAGGAGGAGATAGTGGGGTGGGTTTTAGCTGAGCCTTGAAGGGAGCATCTGACAGGTCCAAGTAAGGAGAGAAGGCAGAGGTCCTGGAACGGGAGGGGCAGCGGGTGGGCCAGCCAGGTTTGACTTGGGAGACTGAAGAACAGCAAAGGTTGGGAAGAACTTAGAGGCCAAAATGAAGAACTTCTGTTATATCCTAGAGGTTGTGGGGAGCATCTCTTTGTGTATATTTAGGATTTTTTTTTCTGTGTACACACTGCAATGCAGAAAACTTTCATTTTTGTCTTTGTATCCTGACAACTGGCTTAAGTGCCTGGCCATTAGTGAAGGAGTGAATGAATAAATGAAAAGGCATTGATTAAGCACTTAGCTTACATTCTCATGGAGGCCTTAATACAAGGGAGTGGTCGCTAGAGGGGCACCTCGGTCCAGAGAGTTCCTCTGATGGCGTGTGGGGCCTTTGGGGACTGGGCTGATAACACCCCATCCACGCACAGTGGCAGCTGATGTGATCTGTGTTCCAGAATTGGAGTGGGGCCTGGCAGTGGGGGCTGGAGTGGAAGGGATGAAGCAATGGGTAGGGCTTTCCTGAAATTGGAGAGCAGGGCCCCAGGGCAGATTTAGGTTAATAATAAATGATTATTGAATTGAACCAAACACTTTGGTAATTTCACAGGCATGAATGCCTTGGTGTGTAGGGATGAACTTGGTATTAGCCAGTATTTTTCTTTCACTAAATGGCTGTTTTTTTAACTCACTCCTTGACCCATCCTCATAACTTGTTATGACATTTCCCTTTACCCTTCTTTACTTTTCCCTTCCCCTTACTCCAATTTGAGGATTTGATTTCAAGTAGATATTTGGTAAAGAAGAAAGCTCTAATTTAAAGCGATAAATTGAAACTGGGTAGACTACTGAGGCAATTGTTAGGATAACAGGCAAAAAACCCTTTGAAATAACTAGCTTGAATAAGGGCCTGTCTCAGTCAGCGTGGATACAGTCTTAGAATGAACATGATGGGGACCTTGTGGATGCCTTTTTAAAAGTTTTGTGAATAATTAGGGCATTTTCTCACTCGCATGTTATCTACCCTTTAAGCAAGATATAACTTCCTCTATTCTTAATGTTATTTTATTACAGTTGAAATACTTTTAACATGGTCATCAATGACTCTTCCTTTTACATTTGAGTGCCTCATTGAGAAGGCAAATTTAGTATGAAAGTGAGGGCTGAACCTACATGTAGACTTTAGAGCTTTGTGGTTTTTTTTAATTCATATTTGTAGTATATGCAATAAGAACAAATATGTGATGATAGCCTTGAATTCTGTTAAGTTAAAAGTTGCAGATTTTATAAGGTCCTAGAGGAGAGTTGTCAAACTTAGGCCTGCGAAACTTTTAAGTTAAAATGTAATTGGGAAATGTTGAACAA